TTTCAAGCTTTTCGCCACGAAAGCTCTCAGGTGAAGCTTCTTTTGGACTGGGGAGTGGATGCCAATGCAACGGACACCGGCAGGGCGCCCCAGCAATACGAGCTGGCGAAAGGAAATCCTAACGCACGAGCCGACTTTGCGAGTGTTCGCAGTGGTCCTCCAATGGCATGCTGAAATTGAGTCATTGTTTGAGACATCTTCCAAAATTTGATTGGACATGCAGAATCCGAAATTACAGAATCGCTGGCAGTTCATAGATCTGGAACCAGGTTGCATGAAGTTCTAGTGCAGGTTCAAGTCGCGGCACCATGCAGAAGCACCGCCTTAGTGCTTTGTGCTTGCTGGTTTGCCGACATTTGCTTGCCAGTCTCTTTCCAGCCATGAACAGCGACGCTGGCAACCCTTTGGTTCAAAGCCATCGCACGTGCACCTTTTGAGCGGCCAAAAAAGTTTAGCTTGAATCTCTTTTGCCTTTCAGCCTGTGAGTTCCTTGCGGGAATCGCTGCAGCTTCACTGTTCAATGCACAGCTTCGGAGTGAATGTGCCTGCGGTTCCTCACCTTGACCACGTCCAAAATATTGTCAGACTGGTAGTAGGTTGATATCTATAGTTTACGAGAGCACGGCCATGTTTGTACGAACTGATCTTCGGGGTGGAACCTGAGAGCGATTCGCTATGATCTTAGGTGACACCAGGGACACCTTGCTCATGGCTGCTGTGCGAGCAGGCGGGCTGGAGACACGCCATCCGCCGTTGCACGTGTTTGGATGGCGATTTCAGAGAGTGGTTTCATCCATGACAGTGAACTGCAACTGATTGCACTGCTCAATCCAACTCGCCCAGACATGTTTGCAGGTGAGCTTGGGGTGGTCGAGGACAGGGCGGCAAACATAGTTTTGGGGTGTGGTACAGATTCGGAGTGAGATGCTCAACATGCAGATGAGTGTTTTCAGTATATATGTACATATACATATTATATTTACATCCTGATAGCTGTCTTTCGGCTAAATTTGACAAAAACACATCACTGATGCACGCCCAACTATGTGCGTGTAAGATTCCTTTGCCCGAAAAATGAAGCAATCAGGCCATATTTGCTCCCATGTAGCAAGAAGTACCATTCTCGAGCTTTTCGCAGTCCCCAGCTAGGATTGAGGGTCCTTGGGTGCTCGAAGTCAAGCGGTCAGCAGTATGTAAGGGACATGCACTTGCCCTCTCAGAATGCACGGGGTCACGACGCGTGCTGCTGCATTTGTAGAGTGTTCGCACGCCATGCTTGTTTGGTCGGAGCACGAGTAGAAAAAGAGCTATTTGCTGGCGGCCTTGCTGGCAACAGCCACCATGAACCTGCGCATGTGGCGCAGGATTCCGTAAACTGGTCCAGCCAATTGATTCTTGAACAGGATCTTCTTGGTGCCGCAGCTGACATCAACGGCACCGACACATGGGGCAACACTGCGCTGCACGCAAGACACTCAGAGGTTGCGTATTGGGAGAGGAAGCAATATCTTGGCGAGGATTGCCTGCGATTTGTCGCGGTTCGGGACGTTTGCTTTAGGTGGCTTTTGAGAGGTTTGGCCCAGGAAACACGGAAATAGCCAATGAATAGGTCTCGGCGAAGTCATTGTGGCTGCTAGTACTATCAGGCGTGCGAATGCCAGCACACGTGGAGCTTTTGTGATTCCGTGCCACTATGTGTCCCTCATTGGTATGCTGTTTGAGACTTGTTTGCCAGTGCTAACCCGAGTGGTGCAAAATTGGCTTCCGGGACAACCTGTTCGGCGTATATGGATGCAGCACTTCTGTGACATTTGTGAAACACGCATTCAGCTATTGTCCAGAGGCGGGCCGGAATTCAGGCTGTGCAATTTTGGCAGCGCTGGGCTGAAAAGTAAATTCCCCACGTGCGTTGTCGATACAGTGGGCAACTTGCAAATTTACCAAGTTGTCTGGCTCAGGTGGCTTTGCTTTAGGGAGTGATCTGAGCGCTTGCACCATACCTTGCATTATTTTGCAATAATCTCTAGCTGCACAAGATGTTTATCCTTGCAAGGCTCGCGCAATCGTGCACCGATTCTGTCCCTACCACCACTGCCGGATTTGAACCTGGTGTTTGTCCAAGCCCACTAGTGCGTACGGTGGCGCAGCTTAACCCGCAGGCCACTTGCTGATGCCAAGGCGCATTTACTGCAAGTAAGTTAAGGGCCAGAACAACTAGAAAGGGGTTGTGGATCATATGCTATGAAGCCAAGCTGCCTTTAGATGATGGGGTAATTAGTTTTGACATCATTGAGCCCTTATATTACCATTTCCCCTCCCCACTTGTGGAAGCTAGCAGGTGGCCGCTGCGAAATCGGATGAGGGTGCGGTCGACCTGCTGTTGCAAAGAGGCTTCGACGGCATCTAGCCTCGCCATGTTCAGTAACTTGCTTGCAAGGCCATTTCGCAGAAAAGGGCTAGACAGACAGAAAAGGTGCCCTTGGGTGGAAGCATGTAAATTGACAAGGTGATACGCGAAAGGAGAATGGTTGGGCCTACGTGAAATCCCATGGGTCGTAGTGTGCAAGTCTGTGTGTGTGTGTGCCAGCGGGAATTACATTTTTGCCTGCCAGAATGAGCTATTGACCCTGAAAAAGCGTGTGCAAACGCACGCGCAGAACAGACTGGAAAAGATTGATTTGCTTATTGGGGAGCGTGGGCTACCTGTTTGTGACTGTGCGCATAACCACTTAATTCTCGCAATCCCTGCTGCTTTGATCAACACGAGTGTTGTTCATGATGAAAGCTGCCTTGGCTTTTGCCTTAGCCTTGCTTGCGGGGCCTTCTTCCACCCATGCTAGCCCAGATCAATGTTCCACTGCTTGCTACCCACAGATAGTAGCTTTCAGCTTGAATTGGATACTTTACAAAATCGGCAGTCAAAGGAAATCGCGAGACTAATGATGACGAACCCCCTTGTCAACACCGCCCTTGTCATCTGCACAACATTAGCCCTTTCATTGGAGATTGGAGTTGTCTTTGGAGAGACCACAGGCATCTATGTGTATCTTGTTTGCCTAGCAGGGGCATATAGCAATACGCGAGGTCAAAATTATCTTATTTGGAGAGCCGGAGCTGTGGGACTGGGCAAGGTATATCGATCAAATTCCGGGTGAACCGCTACGCAGTGCAGGGTCCTGATCTGGTGACTTAGCCCAGAACCAACCACAGCGACAATATAGAGGCCGCAACCGGTTCTCGACTCAATGCTACTCTATTCCAGGCGCAAAGGTCAACCTGAAGAACAAGGACGGTCACTCGCCAGTAATGTCAGCTCGCGCGGCGCCCAAATGCCCGACCCGCTAGCAAAATGACGACCTCACCGAGACGAGAACATCGAGCTGAGGGACTGACTGGAAACTAATGGCATAGCTATGGTTGGCTATGCCAGCTCGAGTGACGTATCGCAGTTAATTAGTTGAGAAGCCACACAGTGGTTGCTTTTGGGTGGTGGTCTCATGACGCAATTTGATGTCAGCAGCAATGTGTGTGTGTGTGTCTATTATGCACTGCATGTTTGGATTTACTAATTTCACAAAGACATATTATATATTTATATATGCCATGTTCGGAAGCTGACGCGCAGGCCCATGTCGGTAGAATCATTGTTGCAGGGTATGTGTGGATTAGCCTGGTGTGCAATATTGTGGCGATTTGGGAGTGGGGTTTTTTACCAGTTGAATGGTGTACAAACAGGCTGGCCGGTGAAGGGCTTGCTGCCGTGGCATTTTGGTTCATGTGGTGCAGATTGTCCAGGGCCAACGCAAGGGTGTCCCGGATGCCTTCTCGTCAATTGGTAGATGCGGCTCGGATCAGTTTTTAGGATCCATTCCCTGTCCTTGCAGCGGTCTGTATGTTATGTGCGGTGCAGCCTCACTAGTGTCGACAAGAGAATGCTCACGTTGGATCAAATAGACTCCAGGAAGCATGATCTTGTTGATTTCGCTCATTTGCGCGGCAAGGGGTGGCAGATCTCGATGCCATGGGAGCAAACAGAGCGATGAGTTTCAGTTTCTGCGCGGGATCCAAACATGATTGATATTGAGATGTCTAAGACACAACTGCTGGCCCATATTTAAAGCTTTTGTTCGCCTTTTCGGGATTCGAGGCCTGGCATCTTTGTCACCGGAGTTGCGGCTTTCTCCTGCCGGAGGCATGACACGGCAGTGGGTGAGTTGTCCAGGGCTAGGGCAGTGTGGAGGGATTGAGATTGCTAAAGCCGAAAGTCTAATGGACCGTGAGATCCTGTGTAGACTCCTACTGAAAGTTGTGGGCGGGGTCGGCTTGCTGGTTTCAGAGTAAGTACTTGGAGCATCGAGAAGGAGGATGGCCGATGTGGATTTAGTTGGCCGCATGAATGCTTCCTCCAAATGTTTTGGGCATGCCAACGTCTTCAGGCTAGTATAGCTAAGCTGCCTAGCCATGCGGCTCTTCTGCATGCACGTGCACTTGGACACCTTCCAATGGTTCAAGAGGATCCGCCATTTGTCACCAATTCGACCGACATTCCTGTGTTGTTTTCGAAGTTTGGCCCCTTGTGATTGCACCTTCAGACTTGAGCCATACTCTCAGACTGCCGGCGGGAGAAAGTCGACTACAAGTTTGGCCATGGATGCCCAAGGTCTTCCTTTGATGGGCCCTAAATTTGTTTAGATCGGATCGGCTGATATGCCCATGTGATTTGTTGGCAGTCACCCTTGCTAGCACTTCTGATGCTTTGCAAACAGGCAGTTGCTGCTATGTGCTGCGCTTCTCCGTTGATATGCAGGGAGGTCAAGCATCGACCATGTCAGCTGGCTTGGCATGCGGAAGAAAACACAAATTATGTTTGCGGCAATGACCTGCTTTGACAACTCATTTCACACTGAAGGTTGAACCTGTGCCGCGGTTCAGAAACGCCAAGCCTGAACCGCCAGAGTGCAAAGATCATAACTCTGTTTGAATCTGTCTGCTCCATTGCGATGGACGGACACTTTCGCACTACGATGCTGGCGTTGCTTGCTGTGCTGCAAGCTGCCAGCGCATACGAGACATGGCACATGGTGGACATAGCCCAAGTGGTGTGCCCGAAGCCAGCAACTTGGAAGCGAATGTGTGGGTGCGATTGGTAAGCCTCGAACCGTTTTGCGGGTTGGAAAGCAGCAAACCTCTTGTCAACATGACCTTGGGACGAAAGAAAACCATCTCACTCTACCTCCATTTTCTTCCCTTCCCTCTCTCTCCCTCTTTCCTTGTCTACCACCAATTTCTGTCTCTTGGGATTTTATTGTTAGCTGTCATGAGTCATTGAGGTAGATCCTGAGGGCTAGAGATGTAACGGTTGAAAACCCTGATCACCTAACTGTGTATGAGAGAGCGAATCAAGGTGAGCGAAGGAAGGTAAGGGTTTGGTGGCAAGGGATAGACAGTTAATAAGCATGTCTATGAAGAAGACAAGCATCCTTTTCTTTGTCTATTACTCTTCTTCTTGAGCGGAAAAGACCCTGAGAAGTCAGAACTAATGCAGTGGGTCCACATCCTAAAGTAATTTCTAGATGATAGGATGTGGATAGCAATCCTTTATTTGTTACCATTCTATTTCTCATTAATATTAAATATATTGGACATAGAACAGCAAGAAATAGGAAGGGGAAGGACATGATGGCATACCTTCATTCTCCTTTCCATCCAAGATGACACGACATGAAGGTACCATCAGAATCCTTTTGTGGGAGCTCTTGGGATTCAAGAACCTGTTATCCTTGGCGAGCCACAAATCAAGGGTTAACCGATGGTGGCGAGGGAAGGGATGAACAGGAGATGATTGCCAAGCTCGCAGTCTCTCGCTTCTTTGGTATCTTCCGGAGTCTTCTCGCTTGGACGTTGGGTGTGGAAGGATTCTTGCGTAAGGACAAGAAGGTGAGAAGAGATGGTCCCAACTGTAGAAGCATTCGAAGTAAATACTTATTGAATGGATTTCTGGAGGTATAGAATCAGGATAGATCCAAGGCAAAGGCATTGAGAGAAGGAATAGGAAGCTATCTAATTTGTATTTGTCATCTTGGATTGCTTTGCACCTGTTGTAAAGTTAAGAATATTGGCAATGCAATCGTTAAAAAAAAAAAAAAACATACTTATTAAGTAATAAACAATATAATGTGAAAGAGATATGGAAATAACATTATTAAGTAAATCATATTTGTATGCCATATCTTCTTTCCTTGTCTTTCTCTTTCATACTACGTTATTATTACTTCCAAGGTTATTTTTTGGGGGCAAAGTTTAGAACTTGGAAATTATTATTTTATAATCTACAACTGGTTCATTGGCATTTTATCGAAATATGTTTGTTATTTGTCTTCTAGCCATTTATTATGTACTTATTTCTTCATTTTTATCCTTGCTATTTTCTTTTGTCTTAAACATTTGTTCATCCTATTGGAATCTTCTTGAGTAAACATATTATATATGAATATGAAATGAAAGACTTCAAAACATAAGCGAAATTATAAAATAATCTGGACTGGAATTCATGGTTTTTCGTTACAAACTGTATTTGACATATTTTCCAGAAGCATTCACAATCTAAATCAAAAATACATTGCTCATATCTTTGTATCTTAGGCCCTGCCTGTAGCAGTAACTCTTTACCACCAATTTACCCCCCAATCTTGTGGGTAATTTACCCCCAATTGTGTGGTAATTTACCCCCAATTTTGGTGGACGTTGGGGGTAAACAACGAGTCCAAAAATTGGGGTTAAATCCCAGGTTTCCCAACGATATACCCCCAATTCTTGCACCCCCCAATTTCCCTCAGGTAAATTACCCACAAAATTGGGGGGGGGGGGTAAATTACCCACAAAATTTGGGTAAATTGCCGACACAATTCGGGGTGAATTATTCTCAACATTTCTCCCAAATTACTCCCAATTTACCAATTGTCCCCCAAATTTCCCCCCGATATGCACAGAATTTACTCACACCCCAATTTGGGGCTGAACGTTCCCCCAAGGCGGTAAGCCTGTGTAGTCCCCCCCCCCCCCCCTCCCACCCGCGTAAAAAAGGCATGCAATTTCTTGATAGAGGCAAGCCCCAATTTATATCTCTTCCTCATGGTCTATTTCTTTACAATTTACTTTCATTCTTGGATAGAATACTTTTCAGGCTTTTTGGTTATCTAAAAGCTTCGGTCAGCTGGATCAGATTCTTCATAGTGCCACAGGACTTGAGGGTGATAAGCTGCTGCAGCTTGTTCGCGTTGCACCCCACAAGACACAGTTTGACATCACTGGCATGTCTCAGGTGAGCAGCAAGCCAGATGCGCCCCCCTTTCCGGACTACAACCTTGGCATCAACTACACCAGCGCCATGGTGGTGGACGCCCCGCACATCGTGAGCTTCATCCGCGCCAGCAAGCAGGCCGTGAAGGCGCCGACCGAATGCGAAACCTCTTCGGGGCTGGTGGGTTGGAAGGCAACTTGCTCGGGCCATTTGGGGTCCCTCTCTTAAACGTATAAATCCTTGGCGGCTTGTTGGAATCTGTGGCATTGTTGGACGCGCTGACGCAAGGTGGTCTTCAAGATTGAGGATTACTACGGAGATGAGGCCGTGCGAGTGAAAGTGGGCAGGGAAGGGAATTGTAGGGCTTGTGTCAAAACCATCGACCGAATCGATCATCCCTATGCCATTGGTAGGGGACAGGGAAATATGACAGAGAGAGACCAACAGCCGGGCCTCCCACAAGTGAACATGGAGTAGTCACAAAATTCGTCCGGCGACCCTGAGGGACCCCAACTGGTTAAACGTGTGGGCGCATTGCCTTAGCGTCGAGTAGCATCTTGCAATACATGCCCTTGTTTTCTATGCTGGTTTGCATACATGTCGTCATGTCTTCCACATCTAAGCGCCAATATCCGCTAAATCATCCGGCATCCCCTCATCATAACGCGGCAAACAAACAGCAGAATGTCAAGTGGCTGGCTGGGTCACATGATGGGAAACAAGCAGGCGATTTTGCAACTGTGTTGCTGTCCAGTTTGCCAACATGCTTTAAACCAAAAGCAGCCTAACTAAGATACAGGACAAGACAAAGTAGGATACCATAATTTGGTGTTACCCCTGTAAACTATGGTTATAGTTCAGGCCTCAGAACTCACCAACTCTGCCCAGGCACCTGGGTTAAAGGCAGTTGGTTTCTCCTTGGTGGAGGGGGGGGGGGGCAGGACGGAACCTAAATTCCCTCGACCGCAGTGCTTGCATTTATAGTTCATGCTTTGTAGTTTTAAGAATCACATGGAGTCACAGGTTTTGACAGCCATCAGTCTGGCTTGCGAGTTTGCTTCGCAGTTGGTGCCTCCTCATGAGGGTCTTCAGGAATGCAGGAGGTGCAGGAACGCGGGGGGTGGTCAAACAAAACAAGTTTATAGATGGCACTGAAAAGTGCCTAATGCACTGCAAAGTGCAAGCTTTTTTCCAGGTCCCTGGCCTCCGGGACCTTGGCATTTGTTGGGAGTCGTTGCTTTCCAAAATGTAGGTGCATCCCAAATTGCTGATCTGGTTTTCTGCTTCTTCTTCTTCTTTGCTGGGGCGTGAGGCCGCACTGAAAAGAAGCAAGAAGGATCACCAGTGCGCCCGCCTTGGGATGGCCTCTGAGAATGCGCACTCGGAACACCTTGCGCGCCACCAAACATGACCTGAGCCAAGGACTCAGGACACAGGTTTGGAAGGTAGCGAGGCCTCTGAAATCCCGACACCCCCCCCCCTACCCCCCCCTCCTGTTCACATCTGGGTTTTGCTTGGTGCCAAAAACCAAAACCCATATGTGAACAGGAAGGGGGTAGGGGGGAGGGGGGGATCTGGATCCTGCGTTCTGGCCATTGCAGATCGGGACCAGGTGTGAACAGGAGGGGGGTAGGGAGGGGTGTCGGGATTTCAGAGGCCTCGCTCTTCCAAACCCAGACTCTTGGATCTGGATTTGAGGCCCTCATTCCCGACTGCTTGTGGAATGAAGGATCTGGACTCTGGAGGTGGCAACAGTGCAAAAACTGCGGGAAATCTCAGTTCTATATTCCCGACTGCGTGTGGAATGCAGGATCTGGACTCTGGAGGTGCCAAAAGTGCAAAAACTGCGAGACTGCGTGTGGAATGAAGGATCTGGAGTCTGGAGGTGCCAAAAGTGCAAAAAACAAATGGGAAATTGGACTTATTCTACATTCCCAACTCTTCCTTCCACGAACCGTCGGGATTTCCGGGCCAGATTCCAGATCCTTCATTCCACACGCAGTCGGGAATATAGAAGTGAGATTTCCCGCAGTTTTTGCACTTTTGGCACCTCCACAGTCCAGATCCTTCATTCCACACGCAGTCGGGAATATAGAAGTGAGATTCCCCGCAGTTTTTGCACTTTTGGCACCTCATCCTGCATTCCACACGCAGTCGGGAACTTAGAAGTTCAATTTCCAACAGCTTTTGCACTTTTGGCACCTCCAGAGTCCATATCCTTCAGTCGGGAATATAGAAGTTCCCTCTGTGTAAGCCTTGCGCAGGCAGGTGGAGATGCCATTGGAGATCTTGATGCGCCTGACGTGGAGAAAAGTGCTTTGATTTGCTTGAGCAAGGAAGAGAGAGTTGGCATGGAACATGTTTATTGTGCCAATGTGCGGCCCTGATGAAACCTGCCCTGAGGCTGACGCTGATGCGTGGCAGTGGCCTTGCAGAGCCCTAAGTGCGTAGCGCAGTGTGCGATGGCAAAGATGTTTCCACACTTTGGCCCCTGGCCTCCAACTGATGACGGTCACAGCCTCTTCCTCCCAGCCCCCCCCCCCCCACCCCCCAAAGAAAAAGAGATGCCAAGGTCCCGGAGGCCAGGGACCTGGAAGCAACAACTTCAACTGCGTCAGTCTTCAATCGGTGCTTTAAACATTTTTCAGCATTGAAAGGAGAACCATGCCTGGACGATGCGAATGAGTCCTTTGCCCCCAATGCGCCTGATAAGTGGCTGTTGTTCAGTGCACCTTCAGGAATGGTCAGTCATGTTTCAACTTACTGTTTGTCGCACTGGCTGTTGGAACATGCGTCAGGTCATGCGGATGGCTTGCAACAAACAAATCTAGAAGCATGCTTGACCATGGCTGTGAGTGCATCTGAAATGGCCCCTGGGCTCCGGGGCCAGCTTGATGCGCAGGTCATGGCCCACCGACACTTTCCCCCCACCTCCCACAAAAGGAAATGCCAAGGTCCCGGAGGCAGGGACCAAGACAGTGCCCAAACAAGAGTGCCATGGTCCCGGAGGCCAGGGACCTGGAAGCATGCCACTAAGAAGTGTATTTTGCCAGGCAGCCTCAACTTTGAGTCTGATTCACTGCTTTAGACACTGCACTGTTCAGCCCTAAAAACCCCTGAAGTGCCTCCTGCGTGTCTCAATTTAGTTGCCAACAAGGCTCTTGAAACATGCCTAAAGGGCTGGGTGGGTAACCTAAATGGGGTGCAACATGATTTAATGTTGCATAACATGCATGTGTGCGCCATGCGTCTGAAGCTGGGCTGCTGGCCTCCGGGGTGTGCTTGCTTCATGTGGTAGCGCAGGTCACGGCCCAGCCCTTCCCTCCCAGGCACCTCCTTCCCCCTCCCCCAAAAAGTGCCAAGGTCCCGGAGGCCAGGGACCTGGAAGCAAGGTTGCACTTTGCAGTGCATTAGGCACTTCTCAGTGCCACTAAGATTGAAACACGTTTTGTTTAAGAACTTGCTTTTCAGTGCTTTAGGCACTTTTCAGTGCCAAAATGAGACAACCGCGCCTGCATGGTGATGCGACTGAGAAGTCATCATTCCTCGGAGTCTAATATCTGTTTGGTACACAACCACCAACCCAGCGTTGCTCTCCGAGTACGGCTCCGTGAATTGCAGCATACCAATGGAGGATGCCGCCCTCCGGTGTACCTGAGCAGTGGCTATTGCATGTGTCAAGTTGGTGGGTAGTAACATTGGAATGGCTTCTGTTTATTTGTTGCATTGCTTCCTGGAACATGCCTGAAGGCCTGGCTGAGTAAAGTGAATAGCATGCATGCAACACAGCTAACCCCCTAATGCAAATCCAACAGCAATTTAGAACAGCTGGGTGACATGCACGCAGGCGCCATGGCTGTCAGTCCATCGTGTGAAACTGGGCCCCTGGCCTCCAGGGCGAGCTTGATGTGTGGCCACCCCTCCCCAAGGTGCCCTCCCTCCCTGCACAAAAAGTGCCAAGGTCCCGGAGGCCAGGGGCCTGGAAGCAAGGTTGCACTTTCCAGTGCATTGGGCACTTTTCAGTGCCACTAAGTTATGTTTAACAACTGCACTTATCATCAAACTTCAGTGCCAAAAAGAAATGCCAAGGTCCCGGAGGCCAGGGATCAAGGCACCATCCCTCCCAACAAATGCCAAGGTCCCGGAGGCCAGGGACCTGGAAAAAAGCTTGCACTTTGCAGTGCATTAGGCACTTTTCAGTGCCGACCACCCCCCGCGTTCCTGCACTTCCTGCATTCCTGAAGACCCTCATGAGGAGGCACCAACTGCAAAGCAAACTTGCAAGCCAGACAAATGGCTGTCAAAACCTGTGACTCCATGTGATTCTTAAAACTTCAAAGCATGAACTATAAATGCAAGTAGAGGGAATTTAGGTTCCGTCCTGCCCCCCCCCCCCCTCCACCAAGGAGAAGCCAACTGCCTTTAACCCAGGTGCCTGGGCAGAGTTGGTGAGTTCTGAGGCCTGAACCATAACCGCAGTTTACAGGGGTAACACCAAATTCTGGTATCCTACTTTGTCTTGTCCTGTATCTTAGTTAGGCTGCTTTTGGATTCTTTATTGTATTTAGTCAACCCGCTTGTGGTACGCAGGTGTGGTTCTGAGTTTTACCGTTGGCTTTGCAGCTGTATTTTTGTTGTGAGGTTGTTTTGTTTGTATTCACGCAGGAGTTCTTTTTGGCATTTGGTTCAGCATGCGTGTGATATTTCTCTACAGCCGCTTATTTCCATATGTTTACTTGTTCGTATTCAGACTAAGGTCGTTTTGCATTCGTTGTTGTTTCTTGTCTTTTCCTTGGCAAGCGACTTTGCTAGCGGTTTTTCTTGCGTTTAGTCCACCTGCTTGCGGGTATGCAGGCGTGGTTGTGCGTGTTATCGTTCGGGAATGCATGGACAGTTGTTCGTGTATTAATCCGGTACTTTCAGAGTTTGGTTTGTGGTCAAGTGGAGCTGTTTATTATTCATTGTTATTCATAGCCGTTTCCTTTTTATCTCGCGATGTTTGGCAAACTCGCCGATGGTTTGTTTTCGGTTTTTTAGTGCAGCACGCTTGCGGCACGGAGGAGTTATCGTTCATGTGTTTGATTGTTTGCTGCACATTTTTTGTATGCAGGTTGAGTGTATTCTGGTTGAATACACTGTTCGATACTATAATTTGTCGTTTGCATTTTTGTTGTTGAACGCTTTTGGTATGTCGTCCAGCACGCTTTTGGTATCTAGGTGCTTTGTGTGTGTAATGGTGTGTTATAGTGTTACGCTTGTGATCGCAATAAGGCTGCGTAGAATCATGGTCGACTCGGGCTTATGGCTCATTTAGCTTTAGTGTGTCAAGTTCGAACATCGATGTTGTCATTGTGTTTGATAGACTTGTGACAGTTATACGATAGACTTGCAGAGCGAGGAGAAGTGTTTTACAGCAGTAGGTACTCGTATAAGCTGGATTGCCATTTGTTGCACGCCAGCGCGTTTGCGGATGTTCCTTTCTGTTGGCCAACGCCGCCGCCGCAGGGATGGTCGCCATCTTTGGCGGGGTGGAGTTGTTTTTTGTTTTTTGCAACGGAACTAACAACTATTCTGTGAATGCTATGGTGCAAGTGCTTCTCCATTGCAATCCGATGGCATTGATTGCATCTCGCGGGTGGAGCTGCAATATTGCTTGAAACCAGGGATGCAGCGTCTTGGGAATCCAGCAGGCTCCGGCTACTACACAGCTTGGCTTAAGAAAGAAGCAGCATGGGTGCACTTTGATGATGGCAAGCCTGCGGAAGTTCTCCAGCTACCATTGTTTGCATGTTCCAGCCAGTTTGCAAGCTGGCGAAAAGCAAAAGAAGGCCTTGGTGTGAGTTTGCCTTGCTTGTGGAGCCGTTGTATACTTTCAGCCAGGCGTGCGTAATCTCCACTGCCGTTGTGGCTTTAGCTTGGAGGTAAGCGTTTGGATGTGAACGTGCAAAAACTGCTGACTACTATTACTACTACTGCTACTACTACCACTACTACTTCTCTACTGCTCCCTACTACTACTACTACTACTACTACTACTACTACAATTACTACTACTACAGCTACTACTACTACTACTACTACTACTACTACTACTAATGCTACTACTACTACTGCTACTACTACTCTACTGCTCCTTTTACTACTACTGCTACTACTACTACTACCACAACTACTACAACTACTACCAATGCTACTACTACTACTACTACCACCACTACTACTACTACTACTACTACTACTACTACTACTACTTCTAGCCGCAGCACGTGTGGTTCGCCCAGCGCCACTGTGCTCCACTTTCCCTTTCCGAATTGGGGTTTAAGGTGCCCTGAAACCCTCAGTTTGGAGTTTTGGTTTAGCGTTTAGCTTGCTCCAAACCCTGAGTTTAGGGTTTAGATTTGAGGTTAACCTTGTCCCTGCCTACCGTGCAGCGGGGATAGGCGGAGACCTTCGTTTCTTGGCTGAGGCTAGCAACAGACTAGCCAGCCACAAAAAAGGCGAGCAGTGTAGTAGTAGCAGCAAAGGTACGGGCAGCACTTGTGGTTTGCCCGCTTCTCCTGGGGGACCCACACGCCCAGAAGCCCTCGCGCCTGCCAGCGCTTTGGCACCCGCGCGTGATTGAATCATTGCAGCAAAGCCAGACGCAGGCAAGTGCCAATCTTGATTTGGTTTCTTCTCGCGAGTCATACCCCGAAGCATACCCCCACCAACAACTTCCAGGGCCGGGAAGGTCATTTTGACAGACCCATCTATATCTACTGTATATATCTGTATATATATATATAATATCACATAGGTAAGGAGAAGGGATTGGGGTAACTTCAGGTCAATGAGAACTTGTTGCTTCAGCTCTAGCCGTCGGTGGCCGGGCCCCGGGCACGCAGGTGGTGCCGGAGACCACGGTGGAGCTCCAAGAGCTGTCAGACGCGGTGCCCAGCAGCTGCACGTGCTCCAACCCTACGTGCCTCGGTGCCCCCCTGTCTTTTTGGGGTGCCCCGTCGACACATCTGCCAGGACTCTTCGGGGAGTCGTTCCAGTCAACAAAAATGGAACTTAGAAGAGAGACCTTCCATTCTAGAATATGTTTTTATTGTTTGCTTTTGAGGAATTTTCAAGGTATGTTCACATCATAAATTCGGTTATGGTTTTTGAGAGTTGGTCTAGGGAGTTCCCTTGTTAAACATGATTGCACGTGTGAGTGTTTTCTTTGCCGGGGCGCCTTCGATTCAGATGATATAACAATGAGAAAACACTTTGTCGCTCGGACCTGTGTTAGAACTGATTAGTGATTGGCACGTTTCACATGCGCAGATTTCCGGTTGCCTTCGGGTTCGGTTGCTTGCCTGGAAAGGCTTCGCTCTGGTTGTAGAGGATAGAGGATGGCATGTTTCAACTGGTACATGCTTGTTCGAAATTGAAAATGGTTGGCATTTGTTTGTGTTCTTGTTTACATCCTTCTCAAGACCGCAGTCGCGCATGTTGAGACAAATACATAGCGTCGCATGAATCGCACACATGATGTCTTGAGATTGGGACATGCGACGAGCGGAGCCCTTCCTCCAATTCGTTGCGCAAAGGGCAAGTGAAGGTTGCCACACCTGAGGCCACCTGACATGCAGCAGCACAGGTCGCTTTTGGGTGTCATGGGAAACCTCCCCTTTTTGCACTGCGAAGTTCCTTTTTGCCGCCAAAACAACTTGCTACAACCAGATTCTTGAAGTGAAATGGCATTTTGAGGCGCCCCCCCCCCCCGTACTCCGAGTTTCTTCCGAGGATCCCTGCCAGCGTATCAGCCACCTTCGGGGCCAACTACGGTGCTCAGTGCCAGGCGACGCGGAAGGGGTATTGACTCACAGTCCCACAGGAAAAGAGGTGGAGGTGGATTTCCTATAAGAACCATGTTTCCTATTTGGCCGCATGGTAACATCTGAGTGAATGCAAGGGCCGAACAAAAGCGAAACCAATGCTGTGAGCGGTGCTGTTCGGGGTCTCAAGTGTGATTTTGTAGGCAGAAGCTTTGTAGGCAAAACATGCAACCCAAAAATGTGGAGAATATTATGTGGCAAATGCCAGTGAAATTGATTGTTGTTGATTTGTGTTTTTCGGCAGTGTAGCATATTTTTGCGGTCATGTCCTGCCCAAAGCAGGTGTTTTTCATGTTTCAACTATTGTTGCGCAATTGTTCCGCAGGATTTTGTTTGACAATCAAATGCAATTGCCAGGATACTAAAACCAAGTTTCATATACGCTCGCCACGCACTATTGGGGAGCCGAGCTTGAAATGCAACCAAGGTAAGATAAACATGTTTAGAATATATGTCAAATGCGCTAGAAAGCGTGATTGGATAGAATTCCATTCAAGCATACCTGAAATTTGATTGTTTTCCATCAAAACACTCGGTTTACGCGCAATTCACACCCACGCAGAGCAGCAATAGCTCATTCTCCCATCATTACTTGATGTCCTTTTCAAGTGGCCCAAAATCGGATTCTGATTAATCAGCCGTAGCCGTAGCCTCTTATAGTGCATATTGTCTCTACTGCTTGAGCGACTCAAGTATTTGGACCATCATACACTACCATCCGGCGATTCACTTCCTTGGTTGCTCAAGATGAATCCTCTGTTTTTGTTTTACGAGCGCGGCTCTGAACTTGGCAGCACGAGCATTTTTTGCTGACAGAGAGTGCACCAGTGCGGCTCACAGAACCTTGTCCAGCAGGCTCCATGTGTTTGGCTTCCCTTGTGGTGGTGTCGAAGGGATTGCGGATTTTGGATTTTGAACATCCCAGTTTCCTAAGCGGATAAGTCACCGAACAACCTGGACGCTGTCAGGGTCCCTGGAGGACGCTGTTCCTCGAGCTGATTCCGTTTTGTTGGTGATGCTTCGCTCATTCCGTTTTGTTGGAGCTGATCTCTCACTGCTAGATGCTTCGCACACCAGGCGACACAGGGCAAAATTGGGATCAGCAAGAACAACGGCAACCTGGGATGACGCGGAACACAAGACCCCGGCAATGGCCAACAGAGAGACAGGCGAGACGCACGCAAAGGAACATACCGCTAAATGATGTTGACGTTGTCCGAGCGCAAGACGAGGACAACAGCAATGCCCCAGGTCAATGTGAAGTCACGGTGTCAACAGGCAAACGCTGAGGAACAGGGAGACGGGAGAGACTTCAAAAAAATATGTCTGGACAGTTGACGCGCTGCGTAATTTTATATGCAACACTCTTATTCGGCATGATCGAGCTACGTGATTATGCCCCCATATGGCCCCCAAACTTTTTCAAGAGCCAACCTTCCTGACCAGCCATGGACCCCACGAGCGCCTGGCTCTGTACCTTGTCAGATAACAATACCGTGAGTGCTTGTCGAGGACATTATATGTTTGTGCAGCGCACACACACACATATATCCCGACCTGTTTAGATGGGGCAAGCGGACAATTGATTTCTGGCTAGCGCTACACCAAAGGTTGCCGAGTCGAGTCCTTTTTTTTCTTGGGCTTCCCGCCACGGGCCAACCCCAACAAGTTGTTCCCTCTTTAAAATCCGAGTCTGTCGTCAACTTGTTTGAAGTCACGCGAGACGTGAGGCCTGGGACGAGCCGAAGTGCGGGGAGCTCTGGGGCAACGTGTCCCTGGGGGAGTGGTGCTGTCGCCCTTGGTGCTATGCCACCAGCGACTGCCCCGACGCCTTCCAGAGCCAAGCCATCCCCGGGCAGTACTTCAGCTTCTTGGCCATAGGTCTCATTTTTTGGAGCTTCTTGGTTTGGGGTGGGTTTGGGGTGGGTTTAGAGTTGGTTTAGGTGGGTTTTGGGTTGGTTTAGGGTGGGTCATTGTCTTCCTTGGACTCTTCTACTCCCCTTGGCCATAGGTGTCCTTTTAGGTTAGCCTAGTGAAAATTAGATGGTACTGGTTTAGATGGGGTTTTGTTCCATTTACCAGGGCCATCTATTTTTCCAAAAGGCAACCTATGTTCTTGGCAGTCATTTTCTTCAGAGGACTCTTCTATTCTCCCAAGGCAAACGCACGGGGGCCATTCAAGGTGCCTTACATGCTAGGGCCCCAGCCTGCGCATTGTTCAAGGTGCGGGTCTCATGCTGGTATTGACTATGTTGGCTGTATTGATAATACCTATCTATATATATACACCTGGAAGCTCAAATAGGAACACATTCTTGCGTGTTGCATTTGTTCTGTTTGTTGCTTGCAAACATTTGGGAGGACATTCCGGACAATGTCCAGAAGTGCAACTTGTTGTGTTTTTGCGTGTTTTAATGAGCCCTGGTGGAAAAGCGTTGCGAACAATACCGGGACATCAGCGGGAAATACTCGGACATCTGCGGGAAATACGCAGAAATCTACAAGATATAGGCGGACATCTGCGGAGCCACCAACACCGAGTTCCTGTCTTTTTGTGGCTGGGTACGACCACAAAGAGGCAGGATTGGACATAAGCGTGTTGTGTCGAAACAAGCATGTTTGATAGGCGTGTTTGATAGGCCAGCGATAGTTGAATGGGCTGGGGCTAACAGGGTTGCTCTGAGCCTAAAAGATCATCAACAGCACACGAGTAGAACAATGGTATTGGGTTCTGTTGTCCTTTCTCAAGAGCCAAATGTCTGTTGACAGGGTCTTGGGAGCACCCCCGATTGCAGGACTCAGCCATGCCTGCAAAACACACTAACGCGCAAACGCACGCAGACACCCTTTCGCAGGCACAGATACAATGCGTGTGTGAATGCGTTGACACGCAGCGGGACTCGTACCAGCCCAATCATCAAAGGCGTTAGCCCATGCGTGCATGCGTGCACTTTGCGCATTTGATGCAACCCTCACTTCATTCTGTTCAATAACAACGGCAAACGGCCGCCGGCCCATTGACCAGTACAACATCTTAGACGGAGGAGAGTCTACTGGCAAACAAATTTGTCTGGCGCAGACTCCAGGCATGATAGAAGATCGGGCAGAGCGCTGTGGTTTGTTCCAGACTGCCAGAAGGCGGTCTGCAATTGTCCACGTGAGATTGGTCCTGGAAGCTGTGACGCAATAATTTCTTTGAATGGTGTTGCCTGAGGTTATGCAGCCTGCAACACCTATGACCCGGTGACGCCTTGCCAATGGACTGCCATCGCAGAGGCGAACGACCCCTGCAATTGCAAGAACATGGGCTCCAGCTTCAACGCAGCAATGAGCTCCAAGTTTCCCAGCACTTATGGGTGCCTTGGATCAGAAAACATTAGAACAAGGCAGGGGCTTTTAGTGACCCACCGTGTAGTTGGGAATCTGCCAAAGCACGCTGTGGCGCTGTACAAACAAGAAGGCTTCCATTGTCTCATAGATCAAATCTGCTGAAGCTCCGCACGCAATGGACTAAATGCCAAGTCAAACGGTCAAGCTGCAAACGCTCACACGCAATTATTGTCAAAGGAGACTTAACACGAAACTCCGTAGAATTCACTGGAACTCACAAGAAACGCATGCGCTGCGCGTGAATCAGCTACGAAATGAATCAAATCGCGAGAACTCGGGAATAGCAGGAGACTGGCAACGTTGGCCCGGTGCATGAGTTCGGCTTCGTCGCGATGCCTTGTGAAGGTGGGTGTGGAGCGGTTGCAGAGCAGCCCTTAATCAACCAGCGTACTTTGGGCTGGTCGACCTTCGAAGCAGTCCTGTGTTTGTTTACAGCTTTCACTTTGCTCGCGCAAACCCTTTGCGGACTTTCGGGGATTGACCTCAAACACGGTGTTTCTGTGTGTTGTCTGCTTGCGCAACCCTCAAAAGGCTTTCGGCTACAGAACGAGGAAGAGAACACGAGAAGGAAAGAGAACAGAAGAAAGAGAACGATAAAGAAGAAAAGACAGATAAAGAGGGAGAGAAAGAGCCAACGAGAAGAGGAAAACAAAGACAAAGAGAAAGAGCACAAGAAATAATATACATGTCAAAGAGAGATGGAGAGAGAGAGAGAGAGAAAGACAAAGAGAAACAAGAAGGGGAAAACGAACACGTTGAACACATAACAAAGAAAGAAGAAGACATAGAGAGAGAGAGAGAGAGAAATAAATAGAAAGGAGAAAGATCACGGACGAAGAGCGAGATAAAATAGGCAGAGAAGGAAGCAGAGACAGAGAAGGAAGACAAAGAGCAAGACAAGGATACAAACAAAGAAACATATAAGAAACATCTTCATAGATCGGGAGAGACATAAAGAGGATGAACAGGAGGCAGATAAGCAGAAAGGAAAGATCAATCACATGTGAAATAATGAGATAATGACAACATTAAAGACAAAGATAAGGAATCAGAGAAGAGTAAGATAAAGGGGGAGGACAATGAAACAAGCAGGAAGGAGAAGCGAAACGGGCGAGAATTGGGAAGAACAACAAGAAGAGAAAGGGAGAGAGAGAACAAGAACAGAAGAGAGGGGGTAAACTACGTGCTCTAAGCTCACCTCTCATGTTTGAAACTCTTGTCCTGCCGGACTTTGCTGGCAACGTGTCTTTTGTGCAATCAGAAGCCAACAACGGCACTACACGAGTCGTGCCAGCCAAACTAGCGAACCTCGATTCGTACCTCCTTGATGTTTGTACTGAACTAAATGCCACATGTGCACGTGCTTCCGCAAGAACGCGGCACCAGTCACATACCATGATGATACATCAAACACATAGCTGAACCGTAGACGTAGACAAACCGTTTGTTCGTGCATGAATGCGTGATGCGCGCGCAGTAGGCATACACCTAGACAGGAATGAAGGGAGGTAGTGCTACCAGTATGTCTAGCAAACATAGACCCACATCCCACCAATGTGATCAGTTGTTATCAGCATTCTGAGCAAGAATGCCCGTATGATTCGAGCAAACGGGAATACATGAAGCTGATTCAAGCAAATGCTACAGACGAGAAAAACAATGCACTCGCATGTTGACGCTTCAAGAGAAGGCAGCAAGGTGAGTACGGTCGTGTCAGCTTGTTGGAGGAGCAATACTCCTTCCATTGGGTTTTTCATGGATGAACAATGCCATCACATTTAAGCATGGCCGAAAACAGTGTGTTGCTCCAGGCTGCAAGTAGAAGGTCCTTTAGATGAGTTCGACTTGGGATGTCCAAAACCATGGTTCTCCCCACCAGGACGCTTCATGAAGCTACATACTGGATGCATATTAATGTTGTGCATTGGAGTGTCCAACCTTGCAATAGTTACACGTCCACACTTGCACTGAGACTTGACCAAATCTGACTTGCGGCATGGCTTTCAGGTCCCAGTGCGGGTCTTGGGATATGACTAACTGCGCCACCAACTACGCGCCGGATCAGGTGGACACCTGGTGTTGCTCCAGCCCTTTGGTTGCAAAGTGGGTTGGAGGTGGCGACGGACATGCCATTTTCATGCTTGCGAGGGTGGGGGGTTCGAACCTCGGTTAGATGTGCTGGCTGTAACTCTTGTCCAACATGCGGCATGGATACATTCCAATGAGCAGACAGGCGCATTTGGATTGAAAGTTGCCCTACCCACGGGCTGCTGCGGATTCCTGGCATCAGTATAGCCAGCCAGCAGCCCACACACCGCTGGCCGGGTGTGGGGCAGAAGACGCTGTTCGCCCATCCCCCCTAATGGGTGATCCACAGCATCATGGCTGGGCCTTGCCCCATATATGGTCATTCAGCCATATCCGCTAGCTTGCGCTTTAGTTCTTTAGTGGTTCAGCGGACAGGCGCCAGTGAGACATAGCCCGTGTCAATACAGCTTGAACCCAAAGCTGTCATTTGGTGTCAGCGGACCTGGACCGACGCAAGCAAGCAAGCAAGTTGGATACAGCCCGGGTATTGGCAGTGTCTCTGGCGCCTTTGGGGCCAACGTGCCCTGGATCCGGGCATATGACAGTGAGGCGGCATGGGCTACTGCGCTCACTGGGGGCTCTGGACACCCTGACGTTCTCTCAAATCGTCATTTCTGGGCAGGTTGAGGGGAGGCCATTTGGACACGTTCCATGTGTTTGCCCAACAAATCTCTACCGCCATTGATTTGTAGTTTGTGCGTTGGTTGGGTGTAGGATCGCAGCAACTGCAGGCACTGTGGAAGGACAGGCACAAAGGTTTGCGTGTGTGTGTGTCTGGTTTGTTTTGAGCACCTTTGGGCGATGTTTTTGTAGTGGTCGGCTGATTGATGCGGCACTTGAGACTGTGCGTTTGCAGCGTTGCGGCCACGGAAACACGAATGCAAGAAGGGGCTGGGTTAGCTTCCGTCCAAGCAGGGTTGCTTGTGGCTAGCCTTTGAGCTGGTGGTCCAACGCGTGGGTATCAGGCTGCGTATTGCATGGATTGAAAGTTGCCCTACCCACGGGCTGCTGCGGATTCCTGGCATCAGTATAGCCAGCCAGCAGCCCACACACCGCTGGCCGGGTGTGGGGCAGAAGACGCTGTTCGCCCATCCCCCCTAATGGGTGATCCACAGCATCATGGCTGGGCCTTGCCCCATATATGGTCATTCAGCCATATCCGCTAGCTTGCGCTTTAGTTCTTTAGTGGTTCAGCGGACAGGCGCCAGTGAGACATAGCCCGTGTCAATACAGCTTGAACCCAAAGCTGTCATTTGGTGTCAGCGGACCTGGACCGACGCAAGCAAGCAAGCAAGTTGGATACAGCCCGGGTATTGGCAGTGTCTCTGGCGCCTTTGGGGCCAACGTGCCCTGGATCCGGGCATATGACAGTGAGGCGGCATGGGCTACTGCGCTCACTGGGGGCTCTGGACACCCTGACGTTCTCTCAAATCGTCATTTCTGGGCAGGTTGAGGGGAGGCCATTTGGACACGTTCCATGTGTTTGCCCAACAAATCTCTACCGCCATTGATTTGTAGGTTGTGCGTTGGTTGGGTGTAGGATCGCAGCAACTGCAGGCACTGTGGAAGGTCAGGCACAAAGGTTTGTGTGTGTGTGTGTGTGTCTGGTTTGTTTTGAGCACCTTTGGGCGATGTTTTTGTAGTGGTCGGCTGATTGATGCGGCACTTGAGACTGTGCGTTTGCAGCGTTGCGGCCACGGAAACACGAATGCAAGAAGGGGCTGGGTTAGCTTCCGTCCAAGCAGGGTTGCTTGTGGCTAGCCTTTGAGCTGGTGGTCCAACGCGTGGGTATCAGGCTGCGTATTGCATGGATTGAAAGTTGCCCTACCCACGGGCTGCTGCGGATTCCTGGCATCAGTATGGCCAGCCATCAGCCTGCACACCGTTGGCCGGGTGTGGGGCAGAAGATGCTGCTTGCCCATCCCCCCTATTGGCTGATCGACAGAGTCATGGCAGGGCCTTGCCCACATAGATGGTCATTCAGTCCATGCCAGCTAGCTTGCGCGTTAGTGCCTTGGTGGTTCAGCAAACAAGCTCCAGTGAGACATAGCCCGTGTCAATACAGCTTGAGCCCAAAGCTGTCATTTGGTGTCAGCGGACCTGGACCAACGCAAGCAAGCAAGCAAGTTGGATACAGCCCGGGTATTGGCAGTGTCTCTAGGGCCTTTGGGGCCAACGTGCCCTGGATCCGGGCATATGACAGTGAGGCGGCATGGGCTACTGCGCTCACCGGGGGCTCTGGACACCCTGACGTTCTCTCGAATCGTCATTTCTGGGCAGGTTGAGGGGAGGCCAGTTGGACACGTTCCATGTGTTTGCCCAACAAATCACTACCGCCATTGATTTGTAGTTTGTGCGTTGGTTGGGTGTAGGATCGCAGCAACTGCAGGCACTGTGGAAGGACAGGCACAAAGGTTTGCGTGTGTGTGTGTCTGGTTTGTTTTGAGCACCTTTGGGCGATGTTTTTGTAGTGGTCGGCTGATTGATGCGGCACTTGAGACTGTGCGTTTGCAGCGTTGCGGCCACGGAAACACGAATGCAAGAAGGGGCTGGGTTAGCTTCCGTCCAAGCAGGGTTGCTTGTGGCTAGCCTTTGAGCTGGTGGTCCAACGCGTGGGTATCAGGCTGCGTATTGCATGGATTGAAAGTTGCCCTACCCACGGGCTGCTGCGGATTCCTGGCATCAGTATGGCCAGCCATCAGCCTGCACACCGTTGGCCGGGTGTGGGGCAGAAGATGCTGCTTGCCCATCCCCCCTATTGGCTGATCGACAGAGTCATGGCAGGGCCTTGCCCACATAGATGGTCATTCAGTCCATGCCAGCTAGCTTGCGTGTTAGTGAGCTCCAGTGAGACATAGCCCGTGTCAATTTGTGAGCCCAAAGGCGCATGAAGCTGAGCTTCTGCCACCCGCGTTTGTGGCATCATATGACCTGAACCGGCACAAGCAAGTTGGATACAGCCCGGGTATTGGCAGTGTCTCTAGGGCCTTTGGGGCCAACGTGCCCTGGATCCGGGCATATGACAGTGAGGCGGCATGGGCTATTGCGCTCACTGGGGGCCCCGGAACCCCAAAGGCGGTTCTTCTTCGGCACCTGGGGAGTTGCGGGGAGGCCATCTGGAAACGCTCCATGTGTTTTCCCAACGAACCACTACCATCATAAATTTGTGGTTTTTGTGTTGGTGGGGTGTAGAATCGGAGCAGCAGTTTGCACTGTGCAAGAACATCCGGCACCGCTGAGAAAGCAGCCCATTTTGCGCTTGGATAGGCATGAATTGAATGTGTGTTTTCGTTTTACATACTTGTGGTGTTGCTTGCAGCCCGAGCATGTTGCTTCCGTGGACGGTCGGAAGGGGGCGAGCACAATGGGCAAGTTGATGGCTGAACAGCGTGGCCGGCAGCTTCGAGGCGCCCCTCTCAGGGGTGAAGCCAAGCGAGTCTGCGAGAGCCAAGGTTGGTGTTATGTGGATAAGGCCTGCTCGAGTGCCTTGGCCTCATTGAATCCTGGCATGGAGTCAGTCCTGTACTGGTCCAACAATGTGTGTCAAGACGATCCTGCGCTGATGGTGCAGTGCCCCTACAAGCCCCAGCCGAACGTCTCGGACAGCGATACCTCCTGTGCTTGCCTGGAGGAGACAATGCCGAGTAGTATTGTTGAGAGCCTGGGCGTGAATGCATCCCTATATGCAGACTATGGCAAGGTCTGCGGAGCTCATGACGCGCTGAGTCTTAGTTGCGTACTTGCGCTGACGGTTTGCTTTGGGCCGGTTTTCAAGTTTGCAGCCTACGAACAAAAACTAGCAATTTGACAACAATGGGCGTTGCATAGAGCGGGTTCCCTGATTGTAGAAAAGTTGGAAACGTTTTTATGTTTGTATTTGGAGGAAGGGATGGAGAGAGTGGTTTCAGAACGATTTGTGCGTGAGCTTGGGCCAGGATTTGTGACAAGACCTATCCCAACGCCCAGTTGGGTATGTGGTGCTGCATGTCATGGTGCTGGGTAAGTGAGACGTGTCCAACCTCGCGGGCCTCCACTGTGTGGCCGGGGCATTTCTGGAGCCAAGAGACGCTCAGAAGCGAAGTTGTCGGTGAGCTTTGGTTGAGGGATCGGTTTTGGCTAGGCCTCCATCGGTTTCCGGTTGTACCGTCGGACATTCAAAAATGCAAGTTTACTCTGGTATTGCCGTATTGCCGTCAAAATCATTGGTGAAGGACTGATCTCAGGTTGCCATGGTGGCCCGTTGCTGTTGACAGCAACGGTTAGGAATTCAACGGTATCGGCTGCAGCGAAGGGGATGACATGGTCATGGGGCACAGTCACCAAAGGACCATGATAAAACGGGTTTACAGACCGACATCCAGTGGCATGAATGGGGGGACCGCAAGTAAGTTATAGACCCTTGCTTTTACATCTCGCTTCGCAATAGTCATCGGTTTCCTGCTGCGCCCAAACAAACATCGGTGGCCATCCTGTTCAGCAGGTTTCTTTTGGAAGCCCCCAACGCCAGGCTCATTTTGAAAGGAAGGAGCTCGTCTGAGGAAATGCGATATGGACGCGGACGCGGTGTCCAGCTGCCAGTACGACAGGGCATGCGAGTGTCGGGGCCAGCTTCCGGATGGGACCTTCACCGATGCCAAATTTGCCGCTGACTATGGCAGTTCCTGCTATGCCTGGGACAATAGCTCCTGCAAGGTGACCTGGGGGAGCCTGGGGCAAAATCGGGACATGGTTAGATGTATATTTTTGACGCATCACTTCAGCCAATTGTAGCTGAGTTTCCTGGTGGAGGGGTGATGTTCAGGGGTCAAAAGGTCAAACAAGCAATCAGTAATGATATTAAGCCATACAATCAAACATGTTACATCAGTGCATAAGGCTGCGTCACTTCAGCTAAGGAGCGACAGTGACAGTTCCTGGGACACTTCGTCGGATCACGAGTGGTGCTGCGACGCCTGGTGCTATGTCAACGAATCCTGTCCCATCGCCAAGAAGTCCTGGCTGGGAATTGGCTTTTACTTCAGCTACGAGACGTGCACCCTGGCCCCCAATGAGGCTTTGCCACAGGCCTTGGGCCAGCGGACAAACAAGTCACGTCGGCGGTTTTTTGTGGCTTGTTTGGCCTGTTGAGTTGCAAGGCCCGTTTCGGCGATGGAGAGTCTTTTGCAGCTTCGATGCTTGAGCTAGGATCACTCGTGTGGGAAGAGACACCCTGTACCTTGACCCCAGCAAACGAGAGCTGGTAGGCCACATGACTTGGTCAAACAGTGTGGGATGACTTGCTTCCTCAGCAATTAGATTGAGCCATGCTTAGCTAGTTTTCATCCTGTTACCGGATCTTTGTACTTGGCCGTTAACGTCTATATACGTTGATGTTACACACATTGACCCGAACTGCAATCAACATCTGCAAAACACTCAACGGAACGGCCAAGAGATCCCACAACCAGCTGCAGAGCCGCGATCATCGAATTGGGTGCGTCTAAACCCGCAAACACGACAACTCAACTCCCCAAAACTTTTTTAGAGCCTCCGGCTCATTCCGCTGACTTCTATAGCAGACGGGATGGCTTGCCTGTGGCCACGGCCTTGCTGGCCTGCGCTGTTTTTAAGGCCTCCTTTGTTGCGGCTTTTCTTTTGGGAATTGTGTCTGTGTGTCCGTGCTTTGCGGAAGGTCGTTAGTTTGGTTTTGCCATCGTTCCTTTTTCTTCTGCTTGCACAAGTGATGTTAAGCGGAGTTGTCGAAATGCATTTCTGCAAATAGACTGTCAAAGGCCGTGTCTACAACTTGGGCACCTAATTTCAGTGTGTGGCTTCCTCTTGGTGTCCCTTTTTGCACCCAAAAACCGGGGACCCTTGAAAGAGACCCACATGCAACGGGCTTCTTGAGCATCAGCTCTCTGGCAGAACAAGAGCTGGACTTGCTACGCCGTTTGGGGTTTGGTTCCGCTTTTATTTCTTTGGTGTGGTCCAAACCTAGCACCTGCGGGAAGGTACCTGGAAGATCAGTTTCCTCTTACAGGAACTCCCTGTGAGGTGCTATGCTAGTGGAAGGGAGGGTAGATGATCTGTTTTCTTTTCTTCTTATTTTTTGCGGAAAGCCCCAAGGCGACGATCCGCCAGCGACCTACAACGAAGGCACCGACACCTGTGATGCAACGCGACGCTTGGCGGGACGCCAACTCGCCGGCCGCCGCAGATCAGGGGGAGGCTGGGTTTCATGTGGAACATATCTCAGTAAGCAGGGATACGGGAGGATTCCTTCTAAATGCACCTGGACTAAGTTTGATATGGGAAATGGCGCCAAGGGAATCCCCCCATATCCCCGCTCCCTCCATATTCCCGCTTGTCTGGGTGTCCAAATTTCGGCCGGATCGGCCACCTTTGCCGAAACCACTTTCTGGCAAGGGGCTGCTTGAGGTCTGTCGTCTTGCCTACTGGTGAGGTCATTTGCCGCAAGCATTGCGCCTCGTTCGACCACCGCAGTGCGTTCTGTTTCCTCTTGTAAAAACATCAATCCACATGACATTATCCCACGACAACACTAGGGGAATCGGTTGGGGACAATCCCCAGCGTCAAGTCTAGGTGGCCGATTGAACGACCTTGCAGGCCTTGCAGTGCCTTTTATACGTGAAGCAGTTCACATCATATCTATATTTGTTGTTGGCAACTGGGGTTTGTCAATTCTCCAAAAGGTAGCCAACACGGGAGGCCCAACCCCCGGTGATTCGAAACAGGAGGTTGGAGCAGCTACTCGAGCTACAGTGCCCCCCGGCGCCGTGCCCCTGCTGCACCGGCCACCTCTCCCAGACGGCGCTCCTTGGCGACTTGTGGTTGAGGATGCACTTCTGCCTACGGCTTGTGGAACTGGTTCTTGAGCTAGCCGATTCCCAGCAACCCATCGCCAATGCCTACCACCAATTTCAATATCAGAACTCACTTTTCGCACCTGCCAACCTGGCAAGCAATCACAAACCAAGCATCTCATGCATCTCCGTGCCTGAGGCTCATACTCCGCGCCCTCCGCCTACAGCCCCCGTCGCCGTGCCCCGGTCTCTCCCCGGCGACGGGACGTGCGGCGACGGGCGCCGCCCCCGCCGGTGCCAGCGCCCATCGAGGCCAGGCGACGCACGACCAGCGCCTCGGTTAGCTCAAGATGAAGAAGAGGGTGGCTCTTGGAGAGTCCGTTTTCTGAGAATGTCGCAGGTATTGCTATTGGTCGCTTGTGGTTTCGGGGAGCCATTCAGCCAAAGCTTCAACCCTTTCTTGGAACTTGTTGTTGATCTGTGAAATTGTTCTGTTCAGGTTCACAAAATATTCAGAATAGTTAAGCATGTTGAGTGGTGTTTGAGGGGCAACAGCTGAAGTAGTTGCGGCACGCTGGCTATTGCTCATGCATCATTCTATGTTTCTTGTTGATCGATTAGAATTTGATTGTGGACGTTCCCTTTATGCCTATTTGTTCATGAGCTATTATTTTAGTGCCTCCGGCTCAGGCCGCCGACATTACAGGCCTGCTTTCTTATTTGCGTCCCTTTGGAATTGTCCCCTTGCCCCCTTCCCCTCTGAGATTTTTGCCCCCCTTTCTTTGTTGAGATCCATTCCCCCTTTCCGCCCTAAGGCCTTTTCTCCCTCTGATGTTTCCCTTTTCCTCCCTAAGATGTTTTCCCCCCTCTCCCTGTTGAGATCCTTTCCCCCCTTTCCCCCCTAAGGCCTTTTCCCCCCTGAGATCTTCTCCCTTTTCCTCCCTTTCCCCCACTTTCCCCCCTACGGCCTTTTCCTCCCTGGGATCTTTTTCCTTTCCTCCCTGAGATCTTTCCCCCCCTTTCCCTGTTGAGATCCTTTCCCCCCTTTCCCCCCTACGGCCTTTCCCCCCGCTGAGATCTTCTCCCTCTTCCTCCTTAAGGGAAAGGGGGGAAAAGATCTTTGGGAGGAAAATGGAAATCTTTCTCGGGGGGAACAGGCCCCAAGGGGCAATGGGGGGACTGGATCTCAAACGGGAAAGGGGGAAAAAGACTTTGGGAAGAGAAGGGTGGAGATCTTGGGGGGAAAAGGCCTTAGGGGGGAAACGGGGGAAAGGATCTTAAGCGGGAAAGGGGGGAAAAGATCTTAGGGAGGCAAAGGGAGACAAACTTAGGGAAAAGGACTTAGGGAGGAAAGGGGGGGAAAGATCTTTGGGAGGAAAAGGGAGAAGAACTGAGGGTGGGAAAAGGCCTTAGAAGGAAAAGGGGGGAAATAAATGATCTCAACAGGGAGCTGGGGGGGGGGGGGGAAGATCTTAGGGAGGAAAGGCAGAAGATCTGGGGCAAAAAGGCCTTAGGGGGGAAAGGGGAGAAATGCTCTCAACAGGGAAAGGGGTGGAAAAGATCTTAGGGAGGAAAGGGAGAAGATCTGGGGAAAAATGGCCAACATGGAAAGGGGGGAAAAGATCTTCAGGGGAGGGGGGGAAAGGCCTTGGGAGGGAAAGGGGGGAAAGGATCTCAACAGGGAAAGGGTGGGAAAGATCTTAGGGAGGAAAGGGGGGGGGAAGATCTTAGGGAGGAAAGGGAGAAGATCTGGGAGAAAAGGACTTAGGGGGGAAAGCCCAACAGGGAAAGGGGGGAAAAGATTTAGGAAGGAAAAGGGAAGCTCTCAGGGGGGGGAAAGGCCTTAGGGGGGAAAGGGGGAAAAGGATCTCAGCAGGGAAAGGGGGGGGGGGGAAAGATCTTAGGGAGGAAAGGGAGAAGATCTGGGGGCAATGGCCGTAGAGGGGAAAGGGGAGAAAGGATCTCAACAGGGAAAGGGGTGGAAAAGATCTTAGGGAGGAAAGGGAGAAGATCTGAGAGAAAAAGGCCAACAGGGAAAGGGGGGAAAGATCTAAGGAAGGAAAAGGAGAAGCTCTCAGGGGGGGGAAAGGCCTGAGGGGGGAAAGGGTGGGAAGGATCTCAACAAAAAAGGGGGGAAACAATCTTAGGAAGGAAAAGGGAGAATATCTGGAAAGGCCTTACAGGGAAGGGGGGAAAGGATCTCAACAGGGAAAGGGGGCAAAGGATCTTAAGGAGGAATAGGAAGAAGATCTCAGCGGGGGGAAAGGCCGTAGGGGGGAAAGGGGGGAAAGGATCTCAACAAGGAAAGGGGGGGAAAGATCTCGGTGAGGAAAGGGAGAAGGTCCCAGGCAGAAAAAAGGCCTTAGGGGGGAAAGGGGGAAAGGATCTCAACAGGGAAAGGGGGCAAAGGATCTTAGGGAGGAAAAGGGAGAAGATCTGAAAAGGCCTTAGGGGGAAAAGGGGGAAAGGAGCTCAACAGGGAAAGGTGGGAGAAGATCCTAGGGAGGAAAAGGGAGAAGATCTCGGGGGGAAAGGGGGAAAGGATCTCAACCAAGGGAAAAGATCTTGGGGAGGACAAGGGGGAAGATCTCAGGGGGGGAAAGGCCTTAGGGGGGAAAGGGGGGAAAGGATCTCAACAGGGAAAGGGGGCAAAGGATCTTAGGGAGGAAAAGGGAGAAGATCTTGGGGGGGAAAACGCCTTAGGGGGGAAAGGGCGGGAAAGGATCTCAACAAGGAAAGGTGGGAAAAGATCCTAGGAAGGAAAAGGGGGAAGATCGCGGGGGGAAAAAAGGCCTTACGGGGGAAAGGAGGGAAAGGATCTCAACAGGGAGAGGGGGGAAAACATCGTAGGGAGGAAAAGGGAAAACTCAGAGGGAGAAAAGGCCAACAGGGACAGGGGGGAAAGACCTACGGAAGGAGAAGATCTCAGGGGGGGAAAGGCCTCAGGGGGGAAAGGGTGGGAAGGATCTCAACAGGGAAAGGGGGGAAACAATCTTAGGAAGAAAGGGGGGGGGGGAAGATCTTAGAAAGGAAGAAGATCTGGGAGAAAAGGACTTAGGGGGGAAAGCCCAACAGGGAAAGGGGGGAAAAGATCTTAGGAAGGAAAAGGGAGAAGCTCTCAGGGGGGGGAAAGGCCTTGGGAGGGAAAGGGGGGAAAGGATCTCAACAGGGAAAGGGTGGGAAAGATCTTAGGGAGGAAAGGGGGGGGAAGATCTTAGGGAGGAAAGGGAGAAGATTTGGGAGAAAAGGACTTAGGGGGGAAAGCCCAACAGGGAAAGGTGGGAAAAGATCTTCGGAAGGAAAAGGGAGAAGCTCTCAGGGGGGGGAAAGGCCTTAGGGGGGAAAGGGGGAAAAGGATCTCAGCAGGGAAAGGGGGGGGGGGGAAAGATCTTAGGGAGGAAAGGGAGAAGATCTGGGGACAAAGGCCTTAGAGGGGAAAGGGGAGAAATGATCTCAACAGGGAAGGGGTGGAAAAGATCTTAGGGAGGAAAGGGAGAAGATCTGGGGGAAAAAAGGCCAACAGGGAAAGGGGGGAAAGATCTAAGGAAGGAAAAGGGAGAAGCTCTCAGGGGGGGGAAAGGCCTGAGGGGGGAAAGGGTGGGAAGGATCTCAACAAAAAAGGGGGGAAACAATCTTAGGAAGGAAAAGGGAGAAGATCTGGAAAGGCCTTACAGGGAAGGGGGGAAAGGATCTCAACAGGGAAAGGGGGCAAAGGATCTTAAGGAGGAATAGGAAGAAGATCTCAGCGGGGGGAAAGGCCGTAGGGGGGAAAGGAGGGAAAGGATCTCAACAGGGAAAGGGGGGGAAAGATCTCAGTGAGGAAAGGGAGAAGATCCCAGGCAGGGAAAAGGCCTTAGGGGGGAAAGGGGGAAAGGATCTCAACAGGGAAAGGGGGCAAAGGATCTTCGGGAGGAAAAGGGAGAAGATCTGAAAAGGCCTTAGGGGGAAAAGGGGGAAAGGAGCTCAACAGGGAAAGGTGGGAGAGGATCCTAGGGAGGAAAAGGGAGAAGATCTTGGGGGGAAAGGGGGAAAGGATCTCAACCAAGGGAAAAGATCTTGGGGAGGACAAGGGGAAGATCTCAGGGGGGGAAAGGCCTTAGGGGGGAAAGAGGGGAAAGGACCTCAACAGGGAAAGGGGGCAAAGGATCTTAGGGAGGAAAAGGGAGAAGATCTTGGGGGGAAAACGCCTTAGGGGGGAAAGGGCGGGAAAGGATCTCAACAAGGAAAGGGGGGAAAAGATCTTAGGAAGGAAAAGGGGGAAGATCGCGGGGGGAAAAAAGGCCTTAGGGGGGAAAGGAGGGAAAGGATCTCAACAGGGAGAGGGGGGAAAACATCGTAGGGAGGAAAAGGGAAAAACTCAGAGGGAGAAAGGGCCTTAGGGGGGAAAGGGGGAATGGATCTCAACAGGGAAAGGTGGCAAAAGATCTTAGGGAGGAAAAGGGAGAAGATCTCAGGGGGGGAAAGGCCTTAGGGGGGAAAGGGGGGAAAGGATCTGAGCAGGGAAAGGGGGGGAAAGATCTTAGGGAGGAAAGGGAGAAGATCTGGGGGCAAAGGCCGTAGAGGGGAAAGGGGAGAAATGATCTCAACAGGGAAAGGGGTGGAAAAGATCTTAGGGAGGAAAGGGAGAAGATCTGAGAGAAAAAGGCCAACAGGGAAAGGGGGGAAAGATCTAAGGAAGGAAAGGAAAAGGGAGAAGCTCTCAGGGGGGGGAAAGGCCTGAGGGGGGAAAGGGTGGGAAGGATCTCAACAAGGAAAGGCGGGAAACAATCTTAGGAAGGAAAAGGGAGAAGATCTGGAGAGGCCTTAAAGGGAAGGGGGGAAAGGATCTCAACACCCTTAAAGCATTTTTCCCCCAGATCTTCTCCCTTTCCTCCCTGAGATCTTTCCCGTTTGAGATCCTGTCCCCCCATTGCCCCTTAGGGCCTGTTCCCCCCGAGAAAGATTTCCATTTTCCTCCCAAAGATCTTTTCCCCCCTTTCCCCCTTAAGGCATTTTTTCCCCAGATCTTCTCCTCCCTGAGATCTTTCCCCCCCTTTCGCTGTTGAGATCCTTTCCCCTTTCCCCCCTTCATTTCCTTCACCAGCATGGGCAACATGCCCAGCATCACTTGCATCATCCGCATCCTTGGCAGGCGCTGATGCGGATGATGCAGGTGATGCTGGCGATGTGCCACTGGAACTGCTAAGGATGCGAAAGCGCACCCGGGGGGAATCGAACACCCCAATGTTTTTGACAAACTGAGTTGCGCAAGCCCGCACAATGAACAGATTTAGTGAAGCGTCTTCGAATCACCGCGTGGTACGTGGACCCCCCCCCCTGGCGGGGTTAAGGGGTAACAAGTAAAGGGGTAAGGAGCATTTCTTATGTCCAACACGCCGTCTGTTGTCGGCGGATTAACCGGTCGTGTGTTTGTTGCTTCGAAGCATCCACACCCACACACCCACACCCACCCACACACACACACACACACACACACACACACACACACACACACACACACACACACACACACACACACACACACACACACACACACACACACACACACACACACACACACACACACACACACACACACACACACACACACACACACACACACACACACACACACACACACACACACACACACACACACACACACACACACACACACACACACACACACACACACACACACACACACACACACCACATCCATCTCGCCCGCCCGCCCGCCTGCCCCACCCACAACCCGACCATCCATACCGCACCCAACACCCCACCTACCCAGAGACCCACCGCACCCACACACACAGACACACACACACACACACCACGCACTACGCACTGCCCACCATGCAATCAAGCAAGCATGCACGCACGCAAGCAAACGGCTAAGCAAGCGCGCACGAACGCACGCACCCACGCACGCACGCACAAACAAACACACACACACACACCCACCCACCCACCCACCCACCCACCCACCCACCCACCCACCCACCCACCCACCCACCCACCCACCCACCCACCGACGCACCCACCCACCCACCCACCCACCCACCCACGCACGCACGCACGCGCGCGCGCCGCACGCGCGCACGCACGCGCACGCACGCACGCACACGCACGCACGCACGCACGCACGCACGCACGCACCCACACACACACACACACACACCCAAACATTTGACAGTGTACTACGCTCGGTGTGGGCTGCGGAGTAACAGCTAACCCTGGCTCAAGATCTAGACAAGGCACAGACAGCCACAGACACAAACACACACCACAGACACAAACACGGCCACAGGCACAGAAACACACCACACCACGCCCACGCCCACACCCCACCCAAACCCACACCTGACCCACGCCCACATCACCACCCACGCCCATCAACAGCCACGCACGCACGCACGCACCCACACACACACACACACACCCAAACAGCTGTTGACAGCAGCTTGCACAGAAACACACCCATGCATGCATAAACACAACTCAAAGATACAGACAGAGGCACAGACAGCCACAGACACAAACTCACACACACACGCAGCAAACTGACACAGGCACAGAAACACACACACACCCACACCCACGCCCACGCCCACACCCACACCCAAACCCACACCCAAACCCACGCCCACATCACCACCCACACGCCCACA